AGTCACACTATGAAGTTGTGGGAGAGAATGATTAAGCAACAATTAAGATATGAAACGAGTGTATCAAAAAGTCAATTCGGCTTTATACCAGGGGGATCAACAAGTGAGGTTATTTTTGTACTTAGGATACTGATTAAGAAGTTTAGGGAGAAGAGATGAGACATCACATGGTCTCTTTTGATTTAAAGGAAGCATAAGATAGGGTAGCTAGAGAGTGTTAGAAAAGAAAGGAGTCTCTAGAGAATATATTGACATGGTAAGAGATTGGTACAAGGGAGCTCTAACCAGTGTTAGGATAACTATGGAGAGACAAGTGAGTTTTCAGCGACAATAGGCCTACATCAGGGGTTAACATTGAACTCATATCTCTTTGCTTTGGTTATGGACGAGTTAACAAGGCCTACAAGATGAGATACCATAGTGTTCATGGATGACATAGTTTTGATTGATGAGAATAGAGGCAACATCAATGCAAAGTTAGAACTTTGAAAGGATACTCCAGAATTTAAAAGTTTTAAAATTAGCCAAACTAAGATAAAATATATGGAATCCAGGAGAATTGAGAGATTAAAAAGACATACACATAGAATTAGAGCTGGGTGGGCGACTTGGAGATGTGCATCTGAAGTTTTCAGTGATTGCCTCATAATAATGAAACTAAAAGGAAAGCTGCATAGGACAGCCATAAAATCAGTCATGTTTTATGGGGCAGAACGTTTGGCAGTAAAGAACAACATATCTATAGAATGTGTATAGCTGAGATGAGGATGTTGAGATTGATGAGTAGCATGACAAGAAATGATAGAATTCGGAGTGAATACATACAAGGGAACTTATGTGTGGCTCCAATAAGTGATACGATGAGGGAAAGTACACTTAGATGGGCTTGTCATGTGCAGCATAGACCTAATACAGCTCTTGTTTTGAATGGGTGATTTAGTTCAACTGGAAAACTCTAAAAGAGCAAGGAAAAAGCCCAAGGGGATATAGATGGAAGTAGTAAGAAGAGATGTGGTGACTTATGGTCTGATTCATGTAGGCGACCTCAAGTAGTTCGGATAAGGCTTGGATGATGATGATCAATAAGAGAAGTTCCCAGATACTTCAGTTCCCTTGCTTACATCTCTCTACTCAATTATAGATTAATGTAATATTTGTATGAATATGATGGCTTAAACTTCATATAATGTCAAACCCCAACTATCAATATATAAAGGGCCCTCTTTCAAGGAAAGTAGTTATGCCAAAGTTACGTCCTCTAATTAAATCTTACTATTTTTTATTTTTTATTTTTTAATACGGGGATAATGTCTCATGATAGTGGATAAGTAAACAACTACATATTATAATCTCTAAAAAGAAAGAAAAATTGCATTTACTTATCTCATACCTTCATTAAGGGACCATCATCTAACGACACATGTAGAGCATATTAATAACACTAATCAAGATTACTCCCACTAGAAACCATATTTGAAAATAGTGGGTAGTATTAATCACTCATAAAACCAGAAAACATGCTAAACTAGTGAGAGATAAATAATGCCAGGATTTTGTTTCCAATTAATAGAACCCTATTATCTAAGTACGCAATCCATCCACAATCGCCACTTAGTTGGGAGAATATTTTAGTTCCTTTGAGACCTTTGATCCCTAAACTTTGATTTTTGTCCAATGCTCAAAACACAACAATATTAAACTTCTAATACAGCCACTATATATTTTCAGTGAAAGATTAACATCAATCCAATCTTGATATACTAAACCAATTCTAAACTAAGGAGAGCTGCTAATATAATTCAACGAGTAATTCTTGATGAAAGTTAATCATGGAGAGAATAATCGATCTAGTTTGAAGAAGTAATAGAACAACAAGAACAAATTTCAATAGGCCATGACCCGCATTCTTTTATTGTCTTCAGTCCATCAAGTATTCAACTCATCGATTTCTAGTTCCCTTGAGATTTTGTTTGAATAATGACATCCTTACATTGGTTATTTTTAAACGGTAACCTATTATGATAAAGAAGAAAATCCAAATGCTTCACCTGTGTCCAATTTTATTCAAACATTTTTCCACCATCTTTTATGCATTTCCCTCAACTTATACGCAAAGAAATTTCATGCCTTCCACCAAAACCTCTTTGAAGCAATAAAGACAAAAGTTCAAAAGATAATTGCACCTAAGTGGTTCATGAATTTGATAATTACAATTGAAGAGTGCAGAAATAAGCTCATGAAAATAAAAACGTGCAGCGGTGCGCAAATTCTGACGATGGGAACTTGAAATAGACAATTATGGAAAATGTAATGGCAAGGTAAGATGACGGGAACTTGAAAATAAGAACACTAGGGGAAGAAGGTCTTTATTGAGAAAAAGTGAATTCAGTTCTCATGGAGAATAATTTAAAGAAAAACAATTGAAGTAATATAACCTAGTATTTAGGGCAACTGTATGCACAAAGAATACACAAAGTAAAACTGAAATCAAGGATTCAATATACAATACAAGCACAAATCAACTTTGAGGGCATCAAGGCAAAATCTTGGATTCTTTCTTCTTCTTTTTTATGCAAGATAGGAAAGGAACGACCGAGTACTTGAATATAGCACGTCTCCCTCAAACACAACTACTAAACAAATAAGCAAACAATCAAAACTCTCAGTGAGGCCATAAAAAACACGTCAATTTGGCTATTAATTCTATAAAAAGCTACAGCACTACTTGCTTAACTTTTATCAAGTCAAACTATATCTCGTGCATTATCTACAATGAAGCGCATAACAGCAGACACACTTCAATATTTTTTTCCTTATTTGTTGATAATCGACTATGTATTAAAAAAATCAAAGAGAGGTACAACCTGAACCTTTTCTTCATTAAATAATTTGATGAGGTAAGAGCTAAATATAGCTTTATCAGGGTTCAGACCACATTCCACGATCTCATCTATCATTCGATCTGCTTCCTTCATGTCTCCATCTTCACAAAGCTTGCTAATTACCAAAGAGTAAGTAGCGGCATCAGGCGAACATCTATCTCTCACCATATCTTCCCATAGTTTTAATGCCTCTTGTAATCTATTCCCGCTACAAAGAGACCCTATCAAATAATTATAAGTGTGGATATCAGGGCCAACCCCTCTGTCTTCTACTCAGAGCTTCTGCAAAATTATTCATCTGACAAAACCCCTCAATCACTGGATGATAAGCAGGTTTAATGGGATTAGTTCCCCTTATTTTCATTTCATCCAAGAGACTAGTGACTTGATCCATAGAACCCAATTTGCAAAGGTGCTCAACCAAAACACAATACACTTCATAATCAATATCTGAAACCCCATCATTTCATTCTTCAACTGTAATGCCTTATCAACCATTCCCTCAATGAAAAGAACTTGGATCAAGACCTTGAATGACTATTTATCAGGCTTCCAGCCCAGTTTTTGAATCTTCTCTAACCAGCCTAAAGCTTCTAATATGTTTCTCTTTAGACAATGCCCTCTAAGGATTATGTTCAGGGTGCATAGATCAGGCTTGCAACCAATATCCACCATTTATCTAAAGTGCTTCTCAACCATTTCCATTTTACCAGCCCTATATATATATATATACTACAAAATATGGAGGATACTACAAAACGTCTATAGGTGAAAATGAACAGTGATTTCGCCTAAAGCATCCATCTTAAATATGGATGCAAGTAGGTGTTCCATCTAAAAACAATGAAAACTAACGGTCCAAATGTTTTCTTACTAGAATTATCATTTCTAGTTTTTTAAATTTATTTATTTTGTCATATTCATAATCTCCATGTTAAAGATTACATATCCTTAAAAATTAAGTCTTTAAATCCATCCCAAAAATACATTTATTAAGAGGTTCACCTGATAGAAACCGAGTCCATTTCAGATAAAACAAAATCTTCCTAAGCTAGTCTTTTGCCCGAGGGTGTAAGTGTGTAGTACATTGCCTCACGAGCATAATGTGTAAAACCTATTTTTATCCTTACCCTCTCTCACACCTGGTAGAATAGTAGCAGAAGTAATAAAAGAGAAAATGATTGTGATAGATAAAGAAATTGTGTTCACTATAGAGCGAGGGGAATATTTTTGGGCACTTTTGGTGGGGCAAAATCTTGTGTGCACATCAATTTCCCTATATTGTCACTATATATTAATATAAGTTGAGAAAATTACGATGGGCGATGGGCAATATTGGGGGGTGGGGGTGGGGGTGGGGGGTGGAGGGGGGGGGGTGTCGAATTACAAAGTGGGAACATGCTGTTCCCAAATTACGAACAGCACCCCCCCTCCGACGTTTATTTTTTTCGAATTTACCCCCTTTTCCAGTAAACAGAACATCAAAAAGGTATTTTTGTGCATTTAAATAAAAAGAAGTTGTCCTATAGACCAAATACCGGACAAGGCATTTTGGGCAACAAAAAGATGTCCGATAGACCAAATACCGGACAACCACAAGGCATTTTAGGCAACTGAACGATGTCCGGTAGACCAAATACCAGACAGCCACAAGGCATTTTGGGAACAGAACATTGTTTGGTAAACCAAATACCAGACAACCACAACGCTTGGGGAATAGAACACTGTCCAGTAGATCAAATACCGGACAACCACAAGGCGTTTTGGAACATAAAGCTATCCGGTAGACCAAATACCGAACAACAACAAGGCGTTTTGGAACACTGTCCGTAGACGAAATACCGGACAGCCACATTAGCATTGTTTTTACATTTCAATTTGTTCTAGTTTCAAAATTTTTGGAACCCCTGTTCTAACTCGGAGATTATTCACTCCGAGATAAGTTTTTGAAACCATTGACATGGATTATTCACTCATAACAAAATTATCATCCAAACAATTACATTTTGGATTATTCACTCACTAACTTCCAAACAGTTACATTCTGGATTAACGTGGATTATTCACTCAGTAACTTGCAAACAGTTACATCAATCACATTCGCATCAAAAGTATAGATTGCAAATAAAAATATATATTTCCATTCAAAGCCAAGTTTACAACAAAATTGTAACCCAAGAGAGTTTTCAAATTTACATTGACATTATCAAAAGAATTCCAAATTACATCGAAAGTTTACAATATAAAATCAACGTCCTCTTCTGGGGCAAGTAGTTTCATCCTCTTCCCAATGGTTGGTGAACTGGGACCCACTCTCTTATCAATCTTGAGGCCCTAAGACCGTGTGGATCGTTCTCTTGGAGTTCTTCCGCGGCTGCTCTGCATCTGTGGCTCAACAGCCAATACAAGCTCTTTTCAGAATCTTCACGAGACTCTTGTTCTTGCTTAATGAGCTCTCCTTTAGACAATATCAACTCTCGCCTGGTCTATCTAAAATATAGATCTTTCATCCCGGGGTCTTGAGCCTCTAGCCCATTGTGAACAATTCCAATCAAATGGTCTACTTTAGACAACTGAAACACCACAAATGAAGAAGGGTGCAGTTTGCATACAGATGCATCCGTAGTTGTAGCGGTAAAGTGCACCTTCAAATTTTATCATGGTATATAATTTTGATGTAAAATGTTCTTAGGATTATCTCAAAATCTATTTTTATATCTAATTATAAAATCTTAAATTTCAAACATGGTTAAAATCAAGTAGATATATAATCTTGAAAATGGACGGTGTAGATACTATGTTGTAAAATGCACTATTTTTTAGACTTGAAATCTTTTTATTTTTCATAGTCATACATCTCGATGTCGAGATGATCAATCAAAGGGTTTTTCAACATTAAAACTACCTTTTCCGATGGATTTTTGAGGGACATCCGTAGTTCTACATCATAAAGTAGCAACCTTATATAAACTTTGTCCAATAAAGAAATATGAATTTACAATCAACTACTGTAAGAAATATGAAACACAGCAACTGAAACACCACAATCAAGATACTATCACAAACAAAGAAATATGAATTTATAAAATATAAATTTAACCTAAATACAAACTTATCAGGCCATCATCATAGCCTCGAGGTGCATAGGCATCTGTCCGAGGGTTCTCAGGGTTATGAATTCTAGACATAAAAACCTGCACGTACCACGCTTCATACTCCTTTGAAGGTAGACCTCGACTCGGGTATTGCTCGCCTGGTTTACAGTACTGAAGCCGTTCGTGCCAGTCTCTTATTTGAGATGCGAGTTTCTGCTCCTAGTTTTCATCATTTTTACCCCACCTCTCAAATCTATCCCATCTACCGGGATCGGCTGGGATGGGTTATCTCAGTCCAAATTGTCTCGTACCCGGCTTGGGAGGTATCGTTTTGCTACGTTGTCGAATTCCACATATGTCGTACAAAGAGCGATCTCCAATGCCTCTCGATCTAGACCCCTTTGATAGACATGCTCAGCACCACGATCTTTCTTTTTTGTATATGGGTTCCATAATACTTTATAGGAATGGATAACAATACATATATACACAAAGATACATGATTAATCATGAATAACTATAAGGCGCAAGAGTATATGAACTAATAAGCATCACAATTATACCCTTTCAGGTTCAAGGAGATTTAATTCTTGCCGATAGTATGCGAGATTAGTATTTGGGTTTTCCCATTTGCTTAGATATACCCATCTTGCAGCCCTTGGTATACCAGTATCAACTCGTCGACTACTTTCATCATACTGCAATGTTTTGAAATGCTCAAATACCGATGACTAGACAGCAAACATACAATAACTACATATGCATTTATATAGCTGAAAAAAATGCATGAAACCTACAAATCAATGACTTTGACACATACAAAAAAATAATAATTAGCAAAACAAAATGAGTTTACGTGAAGTAATGCCGTACACCCAGTGAGGTGAGAACCAGGTGCCCTCTGACCATCACGCCCCTTCTTTGTTTTAAAGTTACGAACTTCTTGTGGCCCTTAAAAAGATATACAAGGGTCGTGGCCCCCCATGCATACTGGCCTGCATTATCAAAATCCTCAAACAAAGTCAAATACCTAATAGGGACTTCATTACCCTTGGATAGGGGGAAAATGGTGCTGCCTATCAAATATATCAAAAGGGTGCAGTTGGCATACAAATGCATCCATAGCTGTAGAGGTAAGGTGCACCTTCAAATGTTATCATGGTATATAATTTTGATATAAAATGTTCTTAGGATTATCTCAAAATCTATTTTTATATCTGATTATAAAATTTTAAATTTCAAAAATGGTTAAAATCAAGTAAATCTATAAACATATGAAAATATTGAAAATGGACGGTGTAGATAATATGTTGTAAAATGCACTATTTCTGAGACTTAAAACCTTTTTATTTTTCATGGTCATACATCTCGATGTCGAGATGATCAATCAAAGGGTTTTTCAACATTAAAACTACCTTTTCCGATGGATTTTTTAGGTGCATCCGTAGTTCTACATTATAAGGTAGCATCCTTATATAAACTTTTTCCATATCAAAAATGCCCTAGTGTGTTGTTCTATTTGACAGATTCCTAAAATTTTCTCTCAACCAAGTGAAGTTCAATGTATAGCGAATTTTAAATTCATTTGCTGGGTTGTTTCCCAACCATCGTAACAAGCATGCGATATATGGTTTGCATCTCCTTGTCAATACCGGCTCACCTGCAACTCTGATCCGTAAAGTACGCCACACATCATATAAGGTTGGTATCATCTCACCAACACGTCGCGAACAGTGCAGTGAATTCGTCTCTGGACGCCATCTCTCTATCACTGCCTCCATAAGAGGGTGGTCAATTTGTCGCGATGCCCCCTCCTTGGTAGCGTACTGAACAAGAGATCATAGCCCCGTTCTTTGAACCAAATCCTGCTGCTCAGCTGTAAGGGGCCAATGTCTAATGATACTAAAAGCCTCATCAATATGAATCTTCGTCCTATCCACGCCATCGGCAGCTAATGTGCAAACATGAACATTTTTCATGTACAACAACTCCTCTTCATGTGCCATGGGCTTTGAAATGCATGCCATGATGTGTTGGTAACATGCATACTAAAGTAAATGGCATACACACTTATGTGCACCAATTTCAACTTAACTCAAAATCATCACAATATATAAAAAGAATGCCTCAATGAAAAAGATATAGCATGAAACCCAACAAACATGGAAATTTGTAGAGATAAAAAGAATGAGAAGTTGTGGATATCAAGAATGAGAAGTTGTGGATATCTAAATTCAGCATGTGCATCACTTTATGAAAACACCAGCAGCTTAACATCCAAAATTCAGCCATCTAAAGGCTTTTTTTTTGGTGGAGAATGTCAACTTTCATTACTTTTGATATAAAAGCGCTCTCACACACAATACTTACATAAACAATCACAAGAAGGCTTCACAATTTAGCAATCATCACTTCAACCACCTAAAAAAAAAAATCAGTTGACAAAATCAAAATATGCCATTAAGAAGATAGAGAAATATAATAACCAATGCAAAAAATCTATTACAAATCAACTCATTATTTCACAGTCACCTTCATAATAGAATAACATCCAAATGGCATACAGATCAACACATTATTTACAAGACACTATCTTACATATTCCATGGATATTAATCCTATTGGCAGCACTTTCCTTCCAAAAAAGATATAACCAACATGATACATTTTCCTAAGTATGAAGGAACATTCTTTCGACTAGTTAGCACAATTGGACTTCGAGTGGCACATAATATGATCAATAAGTGAAAGGTTGTGCCTTGCACTCAGAACCAAACTCGAACAATTGGCAGAATCACAGTAGAACTACAGTTGATACAAACAAATTCATATATGAAAAAATAAAATAAAAATAAATCCATTGACTGCGCTACTGCTTTGGGTAAGTAGTATGAACTACTCTGCTACTTTGACATGAGGGAGACATTACGCTTCTACAAGAAGTTAGACAATGATGGGTGCAAAAGAGTTAAGAGACCCACAATGAAGAAAAGAAATGCCTTACTTTCTCACTCCTCTAACATAAGACCAATAAGAAAAAAAAAATTAGCAATGAACCATGGTTAATACCCCAAAAAACCAGCCAAAAACTATTCATGATATATAGCAAAAAACCAACCAAAAAAAAAAAACATGTAACCAGCAAGAAAAAAAATTAAACCAGGAAAAAAAATCAGAACCTCTTGTTGTGCATTTGGCGGTTTTCTCATTTGAGCATAACCAAGAAAGAAAAAAAAACGAAAATCAAATGTAAATGCTCTCTGTAGATTTAGGATTAATCTTCTTTGAACTTAATCAGGAAAAAAAAAAGATAAATAAAATCACTTTTGTAGATTTGGGGACCATGGGAGCTTAACATTAAAAAAAAAACTCATTGTGTATTAAAATCACCTAAGTCTCATTTTCATTACATGTTTAGTGGTTATTTTATCCCCAAAACCCTAATCACCCAAATCTCATTTTCAATCACAATCAAATTGAAATTTGAACATTCCAAAGTGTATAAAAAATTCCAATCACAAATTTCACACACATTTTGGGTCTATTTTATCCCCAAATCCCTAATCCCCCAAATCCAATTTTCCCCCAAAAAAATTTTTCTGAGAAATACCTGATTCGATTGTGGTTTGCGAAGCTTGGGTTTCTGCTAGACCAAAGATCGAGCGAGAAAAGTGCAGGCTTGGGCTTGGCAAAGAGAGAACGAGAGAGAAGAACAGAGCTCTCTGGTAGGGCGAAGCCAAACGGGCGCAGTTTCGTTTAAAAGGAGGCAAAGAGGTGTCAGGCGGACAACTTCTTTTTATTTAAACGCACAAAAATCTTGTTTGGGGTTCGATTTATCGAACGGGGGTAAATTGAAAAAAAAAAACCCAGGGGGAGTGCTGCCCGTAATTTGAAAACAACATGTTCCTTTGGGGTAAGTCCGTGGGAATTAAGGCAGAGACAGAGAAAGCGAGAGCCTGGAGGAGAGAGAGAGGGGAGAGAATAAGCGCTTGAGAAACAGATTGGGAGTAGAGAGAGAGAGGGAGGGGTCATGGCGTGAGAAAGAGTTGGGGGCAGAGAGAGAGAGAGAGAGGTTGGGGGCAAAGGGAGAAGGAGAAGGGATGAGTGGGTGAGAGAGAGAACGATTAGGATGTTGGATAGAGTTGGGAAGAGGGAGAAAGAGAGAACTAGAGAGAGAGAGATGATGGCGTGGGAGAGACTCTTGGTACAGAGAGAGATGAGGTTAGGGGTTACAGTGGGTTGGGTCCAGCCACATCCGGAACCGGACCCAGACCCAGACCCAAACTCTGACCTGAATGATATTTGGGTCCAAAATTTATACCCAGATCCATCTAAGTCTTTATGTTTGGTCGGGTCAGCTGCCACCGTGTGATTATGAGCTTTTTCTTCTTTTTTTCACTGTTTTTTTATCATTATATACCCTATGACTTTAAACTTCTTTCTTTTTTGTAATAATATTGTAAATATTGTGAGAATAATAGCATCTAACACGTGCCTAAAGACACATGGTATCTATCATATGCCTTATGACTAGTCGGGTCCGGCTGGCCCAGTCCGTTACCTAAATAGTATTTGGGTCTAAAATTTGGATCCATACATGGACTTGAGGTCGAGTCGAGCTGTCGGATCCCAAATCTAGTTGGATCCATTGTCACCCCAGTAAGGGTGCGACTGAGAGTACAGAATAATTGAAGGACAAATGGTAGAATGAGATATGGCTTCTTGTTTAAAGCAACTACAAGAGCACAAAGTTATAAAATGTATGAATGACTAATGAGAGATTGGACGTAAAAAAAATATTTTGAAAAGGTTTTATGCCGCAAGGTATTTAAAGAATGGGAAGGGATGCTATATAATTGATCCCAATTTTAGGGGTTATGAGGATATTTTATATTTTTATGAGTTGTATACTATAAGATATTTATTTTTAGTATGAGGATATCATAATTGGTACAATTATTAGATGTTAAATTAGATAGTTTTGGGTGTATCACAAAATTCTAAAATTTTTATTTAAAATTTAGAGTCTAATCAATAACACACTTATAACCATCTAATTTGAAATCTGATAGACTTATAACCATCTAATTTGAAATCTGATAGACAAAAGTAATTATGACTTCTTTGTATTAAAAGTAAATAACTTATTTATATACAAGCCCTTTTTTTGTTGCTTTGTTAAAAATCTTTTACATCATAAACTCATTCAAGTTTTGATCAAACCCCCAAATATCCATGAATCAATGGGTATGTTTCCCTTGTTGGTCACCACCACCCATATAAAAAATAAGCAAATGTGTGTTGGTAGTTGGTACTTCACACTTCCTTAATTTTCAATACGGGAGCTTATAACAATTGAGCATATCTATAAACACTTAAAAGTCTTGAAAATAGACTGTCTAGAAAAGTTTTTACGAGATGAACTAGTTTTAAGGCTTGAATTCTTTTTTTCTTTAAACCAATGGTTTAAAAAATGGATCGGTGACCCGGATCGGGCTTCCAAAAAATCGATCCGGATCGGCGAATCGGCGATCCGGATCGGGAATCGGGTGAATCGGTAAGAATAAAGCTTAAAAAAAATTCGAAAAAATTATTAAAATTCATTATAAATATTGTTTTTTAAGAATTCAATAAAAAATGATGGTACTCCATTAAGAATTTTCATGTTTTTGAATGAATATGCGAATATTAATATGTTCTTTCCCTGCATGAATCGTCATTCAGCATTTAATTTACAGTATTTCGTGCTCATCCCTACACTATTGCTGTTGGGACTCGATATGTGAATAATATGGCTGGGATAGGGTGGCCTCAGAATCATCATCTCTCTCGTTTTCTCTTTGAATAATATGGATTAAAAAAAAAAAATAACAAATTTTCAAAAAAATCGATCATGGATTAAAAAAAAATCCACAAATATTCAAAAAATTCTATCATGGATTACAAAAAAAAATTCGATCATGGATT